AGTCCCACAGCCGCTCAGACCCAACCAAGTAAACACAGAGACTTATATTGCTTACAAACTGTATGGCCGTGGCAGGCTTCTTGCTAACTGTGCTTATAGCTTAAATTAGTCCATTTTCATAAATCTATACCTTGCCACGTGGCTGGTGGCTTACCGGCATCTTCACACATGCTGCTGGTCATGGCGGCGGCTGCAGTCAGTCCTGCCTTCCTGTCCTTTTATTTCTCCTCTCTGTTAGTCCCGCCTATCCTTCCTGCCTAGCCACAGCCGATCAGGTTTTATTTATTGATCAATCAGAACAACTTGACATACAGACCATCCCCCAGCACAGCCAAGTGCAGACCATCTCAGCCACCTGCACTCAGGCCCATGGTCCTAATCATCCTCTATGCGGACCTGCTGGGTAATGCCACAAAGAACCTAAGAAGGGCTCCCACAGGACATACAGAACATCCCACAGCATGTTCCTCTCTATTCTGTTTAGTTTTTCTTTCAAGTCTACTTCGTTAGATACTAGAATGTCTACATGAGATTGTTTCTAAGGTTTACTTGTTTGAAATATCATTTTCCATCATTTTACTGTGAGGTAATGTCTATCTTAGTGATTAAGGTGTGTTTCTCAGACACAGCAGAAGGAAAGATACTGTTTTCACATCTATTCTGTGTCTGCATCGTTTGAATTTCCTGTGTCTAGGGAATAGAGACAACTGATGTTGAGAGATATCAATGACAAGTGTTTGTTGATTCTTGTTATTTTGTGTGTGTATTTCCCCTCTTTTATTTATTTATTGGTTTGTTTGTTTATCTGTTTTTTAAATTTTTTATTTTTTAATTTTCATTTTTTATTTATTTATTTTTTTGTTATCAGCTTGTTACAGTACAAATTTTTATCCTAATTGTGAAATGTTTCACTAAAGCTTCCCGGGTGGTTGGGTAAGACAGTAAACAGCATTTCTTCATGGTTTATGCTTTTAACCCTAGCTAGAGTCCTTACCATGACATCTGTCAATGATGCAATGTAATGTCAAGTGTAAATCACTAAGTTACTGTTGGTCAGAGTTTTATTGCATCCATAGAATGGAAACCAGGAGAAAGACAAAATAGAAGCCTAGTAGAAGTGTTAAATCAGAAAGAATTCAATTAGCAAGAGCTCTCTAGGAGTAGACAGACTTCATGGTAGGTAGGCTATGACTGGGGAATACTTTCAGGAAGTGCATGGAAGTAGGCATTGGTTTGTGTTTGTTGGTGAGGGTGGGATGGAAAGATGTAAAAGATCAAGTAGGATAGGCTCTTCTTCATTTGAGACCGCCCAGTAGGAAAAGAATGGAAGCCTAGTGAGCATTCAAATAGCAAAAAGATTCTGACAATAACCAGTTCTATCGCCTTACGGTATGGGATAGCGTTCATGAACAACCTTCTCTGAATCTTTGCTTTCTAGTTGTGGCACTGGAATACCACTATAGAAGGACAACTTAAGTAAATGTGAACATGTCTAAGGGATTTCTCAAGACAGTACATGAACATTAGTATTATTGTGTGAGATAAACAGGAGGCAGATTGCTCAGAGATGTGAGTGGCTTAGATCCAGAACCTCTTATTTCTTCTATAGAAACAGAAGACATTATCTAAATAGGACACCCACTCTCACGATGGAGGAGAACTGCATTGGCATGAACATTTTTAGGTAGAGAGCCAGCTGTGTTGGTGCAACCTACAGTCCAAGCATTAAGCAACCTGAAGCAAGAAAATCACAACTTCAAGTCCTGTCAGGATTACAGAGCAAAACTTTACATGAAAGCTCCCAAAATGAATATAGGGAGGGAACTCAGAAACCAAGGTGGTTTAATCATTGCTAAGATTTACATTGGAAACAAAGAGTTTCTGCCATAGTTAAAGAAATCAGTAGTCTTGTCTACTGCAGAACATATGTATACTTTACAACTTCGAGTCCCCCAATATACTAAGGAAGAAAAATCTTAACCTCCACTATTAAGACATGACTTTTCTTGAAAAAGTAAAATAAAATAAACTCGGTATTATGGCTCCACTGAAATTTATGTTGTGTTTCAGATGTTGCTGATGATTGTTTCTTTACCCACTTTGAGTCCAGAATGACTTTAGTGGAGAATGTCTGCCTGATCTCAAAGCCTTCAGATAAGAGCTTGCCTCCCAGAGCTAAGGGACTAGAAAGGTCAGACAGAGGAACAGGTAGTGATGGCAAATGCACTTTATTGACTCAGGGACTAAAGAATGTTTGGAGATCTCTAGTTGGCAGCAATTGTGTCCTGAATCCAGTCCACATAGTTGCAGACCTTGGTGTATACACCAGGGAGGTTCTTCTGGGCACAGCCATAGCCCCAGGAGACGATGCCCTGAAGTTGTCCATTGCAGACCACAGGGCCACCAGAGTCACCCTAGGATGGAGAAATACAGTGTTTAAAGAAGCAGCATGAAGAACGATCACACCTGCTCTAACCTTAAGACCCATTCCAGTCACCTTCTGACTCCATATGTTTTTCATTGAAACATATCCTCTAATCTTACTAATGAGATGAAAGGACATCCAGGGTAGAGAGCACTTCCCCTATCTCTCTGGATGAATCTCTAATCTCACAATACTGAATATTTAAATCCCCCTCCTGGAGAAGAGGTGTTTCATATGGAAAGGGAGCCACTCACCTGGCAGGAATCCTTGCCTCCCTCAAGGAAGCCAGCACAGACCATGTTGTTGGTGATTTTCCCAGGGTAGGAGGCTTCACAGGCAGCCTGAGTTAGCAGTGGGGCATCCAGGCACTGGAGCAGGTCTGGATTATTCACTTTGAGAGGAGGTAGTGATCAAAGGAGAAATATGTATTAGAGCACCCTGGGGAACAATAATTGATCCCTGAACAACATGGCTAACTGCCAGAGAATTCATTAAGTATATAAATTCCAACAAAGAATTAAAGCTTTCTCAAACTATAAAATGACCATTGTTGATCCTGTTTTCAGTATAATAACACAGTGTTATTTGTTATTTTTAGGTTACAGGAAGTGAACTTCTTGGTACTTTTTAGTCCTTTGTTACCAACGATATATTTCTTATAGTTAGTAGTTCAAACGAATTTGGAAAGCAAAAGCAAATAGTTCAAATCCAGAGACAAGTCTGGTTTTGGAAACATGGGGAGGAAAGGATGGAGTAGGTAAATGTCATACTTACCACCTAAGCTAAGGGTATTGCCCCAGCCAGAGATGAGGCACTGAGTGCCAGCAGGTGCACAGGAGGTGGGCAGAGCTACAGTGGCCACTCTGGCATTGAGGGTCACAGGGGAAGCTAGCTTGATGAGCATGATATCATTGTCCAGGGTCTTCGAATTGAACTTGGGGTGCCTGATGCTTTTGGCAGCAGTGACAAACTGTTCATTGCCCTCAAGGACATTGATGTTGTGCTCTCCCAGTCTCACTTGGATGCGGCTATTGGAAAGAAAAGCCATGGTTGAGAGTTTCAACACATTATCCAAAACACACCACAGGTTCCAAAACTTCATGTTCAGGGGTAGCTCAGAGGAGTCTGGTTAGGCACCCTAGTTCTTTAATCTAGAGACATTGTTGGTATGTAGGGTATAATATAAAGGAGTGCAGTTGGGCTCGTTTTTAACCTGTTATACTACGACTCTGATACACCCATGAATGTGGATCCAAGGTGACATTTGATGTACACTTCACACTCCGAGTCTTTGTTTACTATAGTAGGAACTATGACAAATACTTCTTGCTTTGTTAAAAACTATTACTATGTAGAACCTAATCCAGTGGCGACCGAAGAGTTGTGCCAGGACCCACAACAGTGTGGCATAGCACCCTGAGAGAAGTTTACATTCTTGCTTCCAAATCCAGAAATACTGAGCCAGAATCTAGCCCTGGGTACAGTGTTTTAAGAAACCTAGTCATCTTTGTAATACATACTCAGGACTAAGAACACACAGTAGAGACTGCATTGATTTAATCAATATTTAACCTGATTTCTGAAAACTTAGAGGTTATTATAATTTTTAGCTAGTCATCCTTATACAAAGTTCTTGATTGACTTTCTCACTGGTGTCTATGATAGCAAGATCAATTCATCAGGGTTTAAAGGCCGATAATCCTTGCTACATTATGGGTTTGTTTTGGGAAGAGAGAGGATTTTTATTCTGGATCAAATTTCGTTCTTGCTCATGATGCTTAGCTCCTGCCAACAGTTGTTGTCTTCAAGGCTTTCCCTAGTCACCATACAACTTCACCACTTGCCCAATGCTATGTTCTAATCATGTCCCAGGCCATGAGCTCTGCAGCCAGGGCCCCATTGCTTACCTCTTGTAGCAGTGAGCAGCTGATACCACCCATTGGTCATTGATGAGGGAACCTCCACAAAAGTGGTACCCAGAGTTCAGAGACACCTGGTAGGGCACAGAATTCTCTCTGCAAGTGTATCCTCCAACGATCTTGTCATCATCGTCAACAGGAAAAGCAACTTGAATGGAGATAGGAAATGAGAATAAACCAATTTATCAGGGTGCTAGAGGGTGAATCCATTGGCTTTATGGCAACTTTAACCCTCAGAATTTTTACTGAGCACAATGAGTATAGGAAAACTCAGATCACTGTGTCTTATAGGTAACATAAATTTTAGTACTTCCCACTAGTGGCATCTGTAGGAAAGACAGAGAGTTCCCAAAAGCCTCAGATCTCCTCTGAGCATCAGGGCTGGACTATCAGGAACTACCTAAGAACACAAACAGTGGGATCCCATTACAAGTCAGTTTTGTCCACAGCCCGTTTACTTTCCATCTATTATTTGGTGTTGCCACCTGTATGTTAGCTTTTAGAGTCTCAGAATGGAAAGCAACTGGAGAGGAAACAAAAGAAGCCAATTCATCAGGCTGTTGGAGGGTGGATTGCTCAGCACCATATCACCTCCCCACTGTTTTAGTATTACTACCTGAGCAGAATGACGAAGAGAAAGCACGGAAATCACTGTCCTCAGTAGTCAGCACTCAGATTCAATATCTGCCAGGGGAAAGGACTGCAGGGCAGGAAAGTAGATACTATTGAGCTCAGAAATACTCAGAGTTCCAGGAAAAGCATAGAAGAAATGACCTGAGAACACACTCCAAAGGGTCTGATTACATGTCAGTTGCCTTGCTTCCCTCTGAAATTCACCAAGTACTATGTTGTTGGATTCCCAGTGCAATTGCTGCTAAGGAGTGTGTCACCTGGTTCTGTTTATGCACCTTCACTTTTGCCTCCCTTTCTGCCTCAGTAATCCAGGCCCTGAATTCAACAAAGGATGTTGTGGAGAGTGTATAGAGGGAGACAAGAGTAAACTAAAGCCTGGGAAATAACAAAGGTTGAAAATAAGATGCTGGGGAAGGTTGGACATAGCTTGAAACTCACCAGCAGCTCCCACAAGGGCCAGGACCAGGAGTGCATTCATGGTGGCAGAAGGTAGTGAGGTCTGAATGGGAGCAGGCTTTTATAGGACTGAGGATGGAAAATACCGTTGTGGAGTTGGGGTGTGATGTCATTGCTTCTTACTGAGCAAACACACCAGTATTTTCCCCTTCTGGATTCTTATGTCAACTCTTGTTGGTTTCTTGGCAGTCATAGACCTTCAGGTGTCAAGAAAAATTTTATTCTCAGGAAAAGGGGAGGGAAACAGCTCTAAGGATGCTAGAATGGGGGAAATAATCATAGTCATGACTTTGTTTACACATCTCTGCTTGACTCTATTAAATTCATGGGTGTTGAAGAAAGACTCTATGGGATGCTTAGTAATCCATGACTAAAAATCACAAGGAAACCCACAGAATCAAGTAGCCTGAGCTCATAGGAGTTCATAGAAACTGAACAGAAAATCAGTGAGCATGAATGGGGCTGACCTAAGCCTTCTACATATATGGTCTAGTTGTGTG